ATCACTTTGAGCCATATCACCAGTTGTCTCCAGACTTCATTGTTGTTTGCCGTCTCAAGGATCCCAACCAGTCAGGAAGTCTACATCTTCCTACGTGGCTGTCTTAAACGAACTGTTGTGGATTTCATTGACTGGTGTCATGTTTTGGTTTGACCACCACTAGCTAACTGTTTTCCAACATGACCTTATGTCAGCTCACGTTGCCCGTCAAGGAAGGTGATGGCTATTGGTGCGTGCATAACACATGTCCTAACAATCTAAATCGATGCAGCTGCTTTACAGCCTCGTCGATTGATTTTCCCTCCTTACCTAGCACTCGACCGATGCCTCAACTCAATATTGCTCGCTCTATTATACCACTTCACACGGGAGATAGAACGCAGGCATCTATGATGAAAGACAGCTAGCCAGGCTTTTCATGTCTTCCACTCTCAATGGCCAGATCTCACGGCCACAAAGGAAGGAGAAGTGGACTGCTGTGCAGTGCGTAAACTGGCATATGCGAAATTAGCCTTCTGTATCCGTGCTGAGATTTTGTCAGAGATCAACCCGTTGGCTCTGACTGATGCAAATTCTCAAATAAGTGAAGCGGTCAACGAGCTCTACCACTTCACTCCCTATTTCTAAACTAGGAGTCAGTGTAGTTCAGTCCCGTGGCATCATGCTACATATGACAATAGAGAATCGTATGCAAAGCATTCGAAGATTTCTGCTTAGGATGTTCAGAAGACTTGGCATTTTGTCAAAGTCTTCCCCTAGAAGGACAATATCGTCCAAATACTCCGAATTCACAAAACTGTTCCCCAGTAAGAAGTCAATCCCTAAAACAGTAAATTCATTTAGGGTCCATTCCATTAGTACATCAATGATAATAATAAACAAAGATGAGGACATCTGGGATTTTTGAAGAATACCTGAATACCTCGCCATTGTGGAGTACATTGTTCTATGATTGGAGCTTTCATAAAGACTGAATTCCAACTACTTGATAATAGGTAAGATAAGTTTTTGTAATTATATTCTTCAGGATTATATCTCCTGTGTGATACTTACCTGAGCTGACATTACACTATCACACTGGACAACACTGTTTTGTGTAACTGTATAAACAAATAGGCAAATTTTGATTGGATACCAGTCAGTAACTAGTGTAATGTGTCCAGTCCCCTTTCTTTGGTGCAGACTGAATTCTATCATCAGTCAGGTTTGCAATGTGGCCAGAAGGGACATGAGTTCCTTCAAGGTGATTGTAGATATGCCTTCCTGACTGGTGAGTGCCAACTAGCATGAAACCTAGGTCAGGTAAGGCTTCCTGTGTGGCCGATTGCCTCCAACTATCAAAATAGGTAAATTATCCACTTTTGCTTTAATTCTTTAATATTCTATTGAAATTCGACAATATAGGTGAAACGCTATCAGTGAGCTAATTCATTGTAGTGGCCCATTCATTTATAAGTTGACTTTGTGAAACTGTATCTCCATGTAACAACAGATTTTACAAGATTGACATATACATATATATATTATCTCATACATTTATTCCCCTTAATGAGTTTGAACAAAGCAAAAACTACAGTTTTAGCAGAATAAAGTAATACCATTTTTTATTTCGTTGCCTTCTCGTCAGCTGCTTACAGTGCAAAGACATTACTAAATGTATCTACAAAAACAATTTTAACATACTCGCACAGAGTTCATTTTAAACAAAAATCAATCGATCAATATACGCATACACTAGTAATATATGCATATATATATATATATAATACTTAACACTATTCCGAACAATAGTGATCATACACAATGGAAACATTTCAGCATTTCAGATGAAAGAGAGATGAAAATATCCAGTTACCAGGATGGGCAAAGAAAGACTGATAACCGCTTCTTTCTGGACGCATAAATCAAGTTTCAGGCGCTTGATGGAAATGGCTTCAGCAAAGTTGAAGAGAATTGAGCTCTTTTGCCTATTGATAGTTTTGAACGGTTTTGCAACGTCCACCTTATGACCCGTGTCAAGAGGATGCCTGGCGATGGCACTGTTCAAACAAAGCATTTGTTCCCTTCAGACATAAGCCTTTTGGTACATGTTCAGAAATCGTAGATATGCCCTTCTTTCTGTCCTTCCAATGTAACTGCTCCCGCAGATAGATGTAAATTTGTATATACAGTTGGAGTTCACATGAGAAGGATATCTATCGATTTTTGATTGTACCAAAGGAGAGCAAGTTGTTCGATAGACGGGGACGAGCTTAGCTGCAGAATAGGCTCTACCTAGTGATTTACTAAGCCTTCTGTTGACCATCGCTGAAATGTTTTCACCTTTATAATCAAGCTGAATGTAGATTGGCTTTTCACCCACTGTGATTTGTTTTACATTTGCGACTTCAGATATATATATATATTATTCTATTGGGTTTCAAGTGGAGGATAGAGCTTCAGCAGAATTTCACTTTGTTCTCTGGGGTGATTTTTGACTGGTTCCACGATAACCCATAAGCTTTCTTTTCTTACGTACACGATCTCTTCCATGAGTGCGTGCCTGTAAACAGTACTAGAATGGGACTAAATAGTTGTACAGTACCTCCTGCCGGATTTCAATGATTCTCCATGACCTAACTTGGAACCAATCAAATCCTTGCGAGCCAACAAGTGACAAATAAGAGTTTTCAAGAGTTTCTTTGTAGGGATTTGACTTGTATCAGTTTTGACTGCGGGCTGATGCCAGTTAGAAAACCATGAAAATCCCAGCAGTACTGGACAGGTATTTCACCTTAGTTTGAGGCTCATTGGCAGTAGGTGCCCGCCGCCAAATTTTGCACCCATAACCTTCTGGCTACAAGTTAAGCTCATAGACAATTCAACCATTTGTGCAGGAATCCATTGCCCCATGAATTCTGATTTCTTTAAATTTGTCGTATGTAGTGCGACTGCCGGTCAACGTCATTGGTGAGTACCTGTCCTCACAGTTGACCTGGTGAAACACACTGCTCACGACTTCTCACTAGAATTCTAGGCAACTTTTCCCCTTATAGCATTAGTCAACAGAAAGCTTCAGATTAATTTTTATGAGTTAGCTTGTAGGGGTTTGATTTGTTTGGAACTAAAACTAGTCCCAAACTAGGAAGAAATAGGCGTCCAGGAACTCCTTGCTGGCTTTCAGTGGTTCTCTCTCCAGCTGATATCAATCCGTGATCGAACTTAAGTTACAGGATTTCATCATGAGATGACACTGGTTCGAGGACCATTGGAAAACCACCAGGGAGTACTGGATAGCTGCTTCTTTGGTTCTTGTTTGGGACTCTTCAGCAGCACATTCCAACCACAGGAGTGTTCAAACCCAGTACCTGCCGGTTTCAAGAAAGTCAGCCATCGGGACCCGACTCCTCAATGGCTAGCGCATGAATTCCAACTTCTGCCAATTCGTGACGATGGTAGCACAACTGGCAATAGCTAATGTCATCGCTAGCGAGTATTTGTCCTCACACCTGACCTGCTGTATCTTTTTCAAGTAGTTAGTTACTTAGGTCGCGACCAGCTGGGCACAGCAGGTCATGAGTGAGGACAAATACTCAACAGCGATGACATTTGGCTAGTGACAGTCGTGCTGTATCATGAAAAATAAAAGATGTTTGACTAAAAACCGACTAATCACTAGTCGGGGCGCCTACTGCGTCGGTGGCATGGTGGTTAGGACGCTCACCGACCATACACATGGTCCAGGGTTCGATTCCCGGTCCCCAAGGCACTCCTTTACCTCGCTAAGCCTTAAATAATGCTGGTGAAGAGGAAAGGTTGGGCATGAGGCTAGCAACCCCATCCTGTAAAATTAATCACCACTGCTACAGAAACTTCAAGCCACTAGCTTGAAGCCCCTCTGTGTTCCACTGGGGAACGTGAAGGAAAAAAATAATCACAAAGCAAGTATGCTTTCGCTTTTTGAATTTCCCTCCTGGCAAATTTGAATATAATTATCATTATTATTATTATTATTTTGAAAACATCATTATTTTTCACATAAACTTTCCTGACTTCCGTTTCTAATGAAATTTGATTGCTGAATAGAAAAGTCTGAATTTTTATTAGCGTCAGTGATTTATAGTCGTGCCAATTCTGTAATTCTCTGTCTCCGCGTCAGTCTCCCTCTCCTACACACACGCACACACACAAACACACGAATACGGTAAGCATTTATGCTAAAAATCAGGAAGAAAATTAATACTGTACACTGGCGAAAATTCGTTGGCAATATTTATTACTATGATTTTATTTGACTTTAGTGAGAAGAAATTTAGACTATTTTCACTGGACACCAGTAGCTAGTATGATGTGTTTAGTGTTTTGTTTGGTGCATACTGAATTCTATCAGTCAAGGCTTCCTGCCGGTTACCCCCGAATAATCTAACATCAACAATTCAAAGTGCACCTTGATGGCGAGCCACCTAGTAGCATGGTGGCCATATTGAAAACCTGACTGATGATAGAATTCAGTCTGCACCAAAGAAAGGACTGGACACATCACACTAGTTACTAGTGTCCAATACAGTCCGTCCTACTGGAGGTCAGTCGCGAACCAGCCCGAATAGTTGAGTGGTAACGTTGTCTCTGACTGCAGACGGCACTGGGTGACGCTGGGTTCGAATCTCAGTCGGTTGGACATGAGTTCCTTAAAGGCTGTAGATACGCCTTACTGACTGGTGAGTGCTGACTAGCACGAAACCTAGGTCCAAGGCTTCATGTGGCTGGTTGCCTCCAACCATCTAACATCAACTAAGTGTAGACTGTTTGGAATGTTAAGATCACACAATTTGTTAATGGTACTTAATTACCCAGCTTAAAATTATTTATTTCTAAAAGTTCTCACTAATCTTTAGTAAGGTGCCTTTGCAGGAGAATCCAACGAATCCGCATCGAAGACACACTTGATGAGGAAGAAGGAAAGTCGACACAAACTCTGGTTGGTAATAATAATCCAGACAAGTTCATTAAGAGAAATAAAATAAAAGACGGATTCAGCGAAGAAAATTTTCTTTATCGACGAAATCATCTTCAGAGGCTGTACAATCGTATTTATACTTACAAAAATATATAGTGGTCTATTATTGAGTAATAGGGGGTGACATAATTGATATAATTACTCAGAAGTGGCTTTAGAAGTGAAAATTAGAAGTTGAAAATTACGTGGTACTCAGCGGCAAAAAGATAGAAATTTGATAAGGTTAAAATTGCTATTAAGTGAGAATAAAGGTATTTGAGTGTCAATTTAACAAGTGTGAAGAGGGTGTGAAAGTATACAAAAGGAGCATATGAGAGTGATAATAGCGAATTAATTATTGAAGCAAAAGCTAACTAAAAGTGAAAGTAGAATGAAAAGAAAAAATCAAAAAATATTTCATTTACAAGGAACGATTAGTGAAGAGGTTAAGACCAAGGTAGAATAAGAGACTGGACAAACTTTTTCTGTATACAGAGTTCAGGGTTGTATTGATGAATTGCTAGAGCCTCCGCCATACACAAAAGCCGAAACCTGACGCCCTTTGTACCATTTGGCTTCACTTTGTAGATGATCTTGAAAGAGGATTCTGGTGGAGCTACGTGGCCTGAGTTCACCAAATGCTCGAGAATTGAGCTAGTAATTGTCTTACATTGTCCCTTTGCTAACCATGCCGGATAATGCTCAGAGATGCGTTTGGAAAGCGTGCGCTTTGTGCGGCCAATATAACTAGCTCCACACGAGCAAGTGAATTTATAAACACACATTGAGGTGGCCCAAAGCGGCAGTTTATCCTTCACACACCCGTTGATCATTTGTCGGCTGTAGAAGTTGATACGTAGCTCAGCCATAAAGAAGGCTTTCCTCAGTGATCTGCATAAGCGATTCTTCAGGATCTCAGCTGCGGTATCACCTTTAAATTCAACACTCATAAACAGTAGTTTCTTCGGCACCGTCTGTATTCTTTCAGGTTTTTCCCTTGGCTTCATGTTCTTCTCGATAAATCTCGGAGGATATCCATTCTCTATGAGGACTTGTCTGAGTCGCTCCAGTTCCCCATCGATTGTATCACTGGAACATATCCTCCTTATTCTTGAGGATAAGGAATGGATTAGATTTCTCTTCCTTCTCAAAGGGACCCAGCTATGGAAATTTGTGTACTGACCATTCCATGTTGGTTTCCTGTAGATCGATCTTTGAAGAGAACCATCCGATCTCCTCTTTAGAAAAACATCCAGAAAATGGAATTCCGAGTTATTCTCTGATTCCGACGTGAACTTGATGGCATGATGGCAGCTGTTGAACTCTTTGGTTATCAATTCGATGTCGGTATTGTCGTCACATATGATGAAAGTATCATCCATGTATCTTTGGTACAGATGGAAGCTGTCGATAGTAGGCCGTAAAATATTATTCTCCAAACTTCCCAAGAAGCAGTCTGCAAGTAAAGGACCCAATGGTGACCCCATTGCCACTCCATCTCTTTGTCTATAAATCGTATTGTTGAACTTGAACTGAACATTTAGGGTGCACCTCAATAGTAGTTCCTTTAAGTAGTGGATCGGAACACATACGTCTACGTTATTATCCTCAATGAATTTGCATATAAAGCAGATAGTTTCAGTGAGGGGAACGTTGGTGAAAAGCGAAGTGACATCCATGGATATCATTTTCTTCCCAGATACATTAGCATCATTTATTGAGTCGACGAATTCAAACGAATCAGAAACACTATGCTTGCAGAGGTTGTTTCTGATAGGTAGGAGGATATCTGCGAGCCATTTGGCAGTAGCATGATATGGAGAGTTTATCATGTCCAAGATTGGACGTAGTGGCACGTTCTCTTTGTGCACTTTCGGCAGACCATATAAACGGGGAATAACGGAACCGGAGGGTCGTATTTGCTCGAACAATTCAGAGCTGATAATCGACTCGTTCTTCATCTTCTTTAGCATTTGTGTCAGCTTGTCTTCAATTTGTTCCGTTTGGTCTTTCTGGCTACTTTCTTTTGAAAATTTGTTTTCATCTGACAAGACTGATAACATTTTATCGATGTAGTGTTGGCGATCCATCAGGACAATGCCAGCACCTTTGTCAGGGCGTGTCAGAACCAAGTTTTTGTTCTTTAGAATCTCACGTAGTTGTTTTCTGTGCTCGGCTGATATCAATCTTTTGACATTTGGTTTCGTGTTGATGTACTGATGGCAGCTGTTTAATACTGTAGACTTGAATTGTTCATATGATTTATTGGACACTGCAGGAAGGTCATTTGTCTGTTGGATCAGTGCTTCAAACTGGACTTTAATATCCAAGTCACTCGAATTCGTTGAAATGTCACAGAATTTTGGACCCAACGACAAGGCTTGCAATTGGACAGGAGTCAATGATATACTAGAGTAGTTGAAAACGTATTTTTCTGGTTTGGCAGGAAAACGTGAGTAAGTGTCAGCGGCTTTGAGGCTATTCGCGAGTTTCAGGTTTACATCTTCACAGCGTCTTCTTGAAACTGAATCGATGTAGTCCATGAAACTTCTCTGTTCGTCTTCTGTTAACTCAAATAGAGCGTGTGTTCTTAGCGAAATATTTCTTTCTATCTCTGGTAGTCGAGATTTTATTTCGTCGATGACGTTCAGTGTATGACGTTTCAGAGAGCGATGGTTCGGGTGGATATGATTGCGACGAAGACATTTCCAGAAGTGCTTGGGATATTCTTTCTTGTCAATACAGCTCCTCAGAAAACTGATTCTTGTATTCGCTATGGCAAGTTTGACAGAAAACTTGAGAAACGTATCAATTATGTCACCCCCTATTACTCAATAATAGACCACTATATATTTTTGTAAGTATAAATACGATTGTACAGCCTCTGAAGATGATTTCGTCGATAAAGAAAATTTTCTTCGCTGAATCCGTCTTTTATTTTCTTCAAGATATAAAATAGTCAGTGGAACACCAAGAACCACTTTCCAACTTGCCATTAAGAAAGTTGTATACATCAAGCTTCCATACGCATTGGATGATCATAGCAGCTTGATAACTCAACAGCAGTTAAACGCTGTGGTTAAAAAGACTTTTACTGCAGCTAAGATCATAATATTTGAGCATGTGAAGCCAATATATCCATCCACCTAAGCCCTTAGAACCTGCGAAAAATGATCTCACATCTCACTGTATTTACATATTTGAATGTACATGTGGCCACGCGTACGTAGGAAGGATTGATCGATCTCTGCAAGTAAGGGCTGACTTCAGAAGCAAGTAGAATCCTCAGAACCCACTAATAGTGAGAACAGGTGACCTAGCTCCTCTGTTGAGAAAAATAAGTTAGAGATATCTTTTAAACCTACCTATAAAACGTGTTTGGGGCGTCTCCTAAAGTTCGTGGAAGCTGTACCGAGAAATTAGGAAGTTTAAAACACCTTTATATGTTCAAAGCAACAATTCGTCATCACACTAAACCCCCTTCCTTGCTAAACTTTGTTACTTTGATACCAGCCAGGGTAGATGTGCTATTACCTCTCTTGTTTGGTTTAGTGATTATCATTGTTAGTTGGACCTTCAATATGTCCTTTAAACTTGATGTAAATTTATCTTCTGACCTCTTAACTCTTTATTATTTTCATGTATAAATTCTTATCACAAGCAGAACTCGATTAGGAAATGACGAGTTGGGCTTTGGCTTGAGAGTCACGTGGATGTGGTCGTCTGAGGAGGAGATGAGAGCCTATGGGCATTATCGGAGCCAGCTAAATAGGACCGCAGCGAAAAGGAGGGAGTGGAGATGTTCTGTTGAAGCCCCCTATTCTACTTGGGAACATCAGGGAACAATAATAACAAAACAAAATAAATAAAAAAATCATTGAAAACTATCCATGGTGTTTTCGGACACTTGTTTCTCCCTAGTTTGGGACTAGTTTGAGTCCCAAATCACTCTTGAAAATTCATTTGGAGTTCTAAAGAGTTCGTCAGCTGCCTACGACCTGATATAATCATCAATAAAGTACGTCAGTGCAAAATTTTTAACATACCTTTTGTCTATCAACAGGCTGATTATAAGAGTGTCACAGTGAGATAAAACATCAGGATTATAAGGCAGCGTTTGGAGTAAACACAGGAGTCAGACAAGGGTGCTTATTATCACCAATGATATTCCTAATTGTGGTGAACTGGATTATGCGTCAGACAGTGGGAAACGAGAAGACAGGGATATCCTGGACCGACGTGAAGAACCTAGAAGACCTGGATTTCGCGCGTGGGTGATTTATGTTTGATGTCACACAAGATCGAAGACTTACAAGCGAAAACCGACAAACTGGTCGAAGAAGCAGCAAAGAAAGGACTCCAGGTGAACATAGAAAAGATGCAGGTTATGAAAATAACCAACCAACAACAACAACAACAGCAGCAACATCCAGCGTCAATCACCATCAACGGGAGGGATCTGAAAGAGGTTACTTCATTCACTTATCTAGGGAGCATTGTCTCAACTACACGAGGAACGGACGAAGATGTCAAATCGAGAATCGGGAAGGCGAGAAACAAATTCACCAACCTGAAACCAATCTGGAAATCTTCCACTGTCACTCAGCATCACCAACAAAATTCGGACTTTCAATACAAACGTCAAGACAGTCACTTCTTTTGTACGGATCAGAAACTTGGCGGGTCACAAAGAATATTTCCAACAGCCTGTTGCAGACCTTTATCAACAACTGTCTTCGCTCTATACTGAAGAACAGATGGCCGGAAAGAACAAGAACCAACAAGAAACTATGGAAACAAACAAAACAAGAACCAATCGCCCAGCAAATATGCAGGATATGGATTGGACACTCGCTGAGGAGGCCGTTGGGTGACATCGCGCGTCAGGCCAAAGCTGAAGTGGAACCCGAAAGGGGAGCGGCGAGTGGTTCGTCGTTGCAAGGGTGACATGGAGGAGATCGTGTGAAGAGGAGTTGAAACAGTATGGACTAATATGGATGCAAGTGAAAAGTACAGCAGAAGACAGAAGCAAGTGGAGACGTGCAGTTGAATCCCTATGTTCCACTAGGAACCCAAGGGAAAAATAATAATGTTAATAAATTCTAACAGTGTGAGTAGGTAAATATGCATCCTGTTAGAGAGAAATTACTGAGAGTTACGTAGTTAAATAACAAAAGATCAAAGTTTAATGTTCAAGAGTTCCACTGAAACGACGATTAAATACTATGGTGAGTAGAACTGAGAAGGTCGATAATAATTATCCATTATGAACGTTAAACGGAAAAAAGAAGGGTGGGGGTTGATTAGACAAGTTAATGAAATTAGAAAACAAAAAGTTGCTAAGTGACGAATTACCAGGGTAATCACAGTTCAACTACAGATTCTTTTTCGACACGTCGATTAGGTTTCAGTCGTTTTATTGAGATAGCCTCATCAAGCCGAAGAACACTTGATCTGTTTTGTCTCTTAATTATTTTGAATGATGCTAGCGCGTCTACTCAGTGTTCTGTGTGTGTATGAGGGGCTTAGTGACTGAAGAGCTTAAACTGTTCGGCCCCTTTAACCGAAAGCTCTTTGATGCATGCTTGAAGAATCTGATGTAGGCCCTACTTTCTGTCCTTACAATGTCACTTCACTACTCTCAAGTCTGTGTGGAGGTCAACAGCACTCAGCATTAAAATGAAAATAAGATCCGGATTTTCAACTCCAATGTGAAGTCAGTGCTACTTAGTATACGGATCAGAGACTTGACCAGCGCGTCATAAAGAGCATCTCAAACAAACCACAGACCTTCATTAACAGTTGTCTTCGCTCAGTACTCAAGATCAGATGACCAGAAAACATCAGCAACAGGGAGAGATCTCTGGGAGCGAACCAACTTAACAGGAACCAATTGTGAAACAAATAGGCAGGAAGAAATGGAGATGGATCGGCCATACTCTGAGGACACCATCAAGTGACATCACTAGACAAGCCATCGCTCGAGTGGAACCCGGCCGAAAGGGAAGCGGCGGCGAGTTGGTCGTCAGTGCAAGGGTGACTTGGAGGAGGTCATGTGAAGAGGAGATGAAAACGTGTGGGCAGACATGGAGCCAGGTGAAGACTCTAGCAGAGAACCGAACGCAATGGAGACGCACGACTGAAGCCGTATTTTCCTTTAGGAACTAAAGAAAACGATAATAATATTAATAAACTTACTTTTCACCAACTTCTTCCCTTTTATTCCTTCTGACGTCCATAATTAGTAATTATTACTCTTGAAATTTTGAGTTCTATTCACTATATTACATCATCGTCTTTTCATTTGACCTCTTGCACGCTAAACTTTGATCTTCTCTTATCTAACTACGGAACACAAGTATATAGAAAATCAACGCCCACACACAGATCAAATATTCAACTATACTAGCAGT